GTACTTGGTCAGTTTAATCGACATTCTAATCCTTTGTTGACCTCCTAAGGTCGATATTGGGGAAGGCATGATTTGAATTACTTTGATCAAAGATGGTATGTGCAGATATGATACAATAATCTGAAAACACTAGATCAGTTACTCTGTTTGACAGAATGACATCAGTAAACCAAAGTCCCATATCTCACAATGCTACTAATTGTAACAGTTACTATCATGATGTTACAACATATACGGTTACAGTGAATAAGGATAGTCGTATTGTAATATTAATTTACGTCGCATGCTTAAATAGGCAATTTAACCGGACACATACTTTATACTTTATAATTTTTCTTTAAACTTTATAACCCCATCACATTCATATGGCGCTTGTAGGACTGTGGTCGACAAAACAGACAAGGGATATTGACTATTGTGTATACCGTATAGATAATTCATTTTACCATTATATAAGTTATTTGATAATAACATGGTATCAAATTCGAAAATGCAAAACTTGTTCTGTTTTTTTTTCATTAACTATTTTGTTATATCAATACACACGTTGTATATGCTGTTTCATCAGGCAAACTTCCCAATATTAACTGTAGGCTGTCTAATACAGAATAGCAGACTGTTATCAATATAAACAAAGATTTAGGAGCAGAGTCAGAATACAGAGGCTGACAGAGAGCCGAATAAACACTCCATTATTGATCATTTGCATTAAAATAGAAGACTAAATATTTCCAGTTACATCAAACAAAAACATAACACATATAAACATGTATATTGATACATCCCTATCTATCATACAGTGTCTAAATCTGAAGTCAATCATACTATCATCTCTCTGATATTTCAGACCATGCGCATGTATGTCCTCCAAACATATCCTAAATAAATCAACAAACAAATAAATGATAATTTCTCGCCAACAAAACCAGAACTCAAAGTCAATAAGAACGAGCATGGCGGCGACTGAGAAGACACCAAACCAAAAGCGTAGACAACATGAACCCTCACAAAAAACACTATAATTGTAACTAGATATTCCGGCGGACTAAACGTTTCTGGGGACACATGTTCCACTTATCATAATGTATAATGTATTACTATATTAACGCAACGCTTTCAATTTTGTTTTATATCGGCATTGCTAGATATGTTAATGTATCCTTAATTTATCCAAGGTTTATACACTAAGAGAAACCTATCATGGAATGCAACAAAAGAGGTAGCTGTCAGTGCTATTGGCGGTAAGTAGCTGTCAGAGGCAATGTGTATTCGTGTTTTTATGTCAATACCAGGCATAAAGAGATACAGTCTTTGAATGGAACCACTGACCTTTAAACAAATTTGTTTACAGGTGAGTAAACTGTTTTGTATGGAGAAATATTTTGTTGAAATCCCTTGTTCATCTTCTAGAATGTGATCGTCTTTATTTACGATGTAATTTTACAAATAAGATATTATTGAATATATTATGTCTTATCTTTATAGATGCCAAGTATAACTGCATCACAAGTTAGTAACCCGTTGACCTCCTGTTTGGGAATGCTATTTCTTTTCTTGACCTGACACGGATGAGCATATTAACAAGGTGTTCAAAAGGTTCAGTACAGTATCAGCTGACGAAGTCGTTTCAAACTGATACGTGAATCACGAAATTAGCATTTCGGTCAGAAAAAAGTATGTCTGATCAATATAATTGTCAGTAACGAACATTGTCGCACAGAAATAAACAACTCTTAAACAATTTTGTTGTGAAGCAAATACAAGCTACTCTAATTTGAATATATATATACCTTTGTATACCACACGTATGTTCGTTTTTTCCCAATATAATACGCTATTTTGATATCTACTAATGGCAATGGCACTTTTTATTTCTATTAAATTTGCGGGTATGAGGTTGGAGACCAAGTGCCATCACGATGTAGGCGTGGATATCTTTGGGCTCAGGACCTCGGCAGGCCTCATCTCCAACCTAAATACTAAACTCTTGAATATAATTTCCATATCCACTATGCCCACTCATGTTGCCGAATCTATGGCTAGTAAATTTGTATTACAACTTTGTTGACTTTCCGTATCAAAATTGGACATAATATGACATTTGAATCACAAACACTTTTATCTAACTTAATGATAGCCGTTTAACATCTATTTGTATAATGGTGCATGTAACTTAAACATTGTCGTCTATGTTTAGAAATATAATTTAATGACATAATTTAACAGCGTTTATAGAAATATCACGCCTGCATAAGGTGTACCGATTGTTTTATAGACACATAGACATCAACTTGTTTGTCTTTAGTATGTCCTCTAATTAAACAAGGTTTCATACTTTACATATAGCACATCGACTCCTACATACGATTGCTTATCAAAAGTAAGCATAACTCGGTATCTGGTGTGTGCTATAAGTGGAAAACAAATAACCTGGTCTATCTATGTGACCGTTTAATGACGACTAGACTTGAAACCTTGTAGTATTGAGATTGTCTTAAATGATCTTCCCCTAAATGTGACTTCCAGGTGACTCACATACCAGTAGCATTGAACCAAACAGGTATACTGCGTCAATAACAGAATTTGAAATCTTAATGGATTATTTTCTGTCCTATTTTCTACATCTTTTACGGGTTAAAAGTTCCATTGTCACTAAATGTTTACTACTTTACTACAGTAAGTGCATGTATTACCATATCGACATGCCGGTAAGACAGATAAATTTACCGGCTATTTTCGTATGTTCTACCATACATATCTTAACTTTAATATTTTGTCTATATGGTTTTATTTGGCTGGTTGTCCTATTCAGATGTTATCGTCACAAACAGATTATTAACGGTCAAAGGAATTAAAATAAACCTCACAAAAATTTGTAGACTAATTAGTATTATTAATTAAATCAGCATGTTCCTTACAATGATAACGCTGATGCGGTTTTATTTTGATTTATCATGCTCTGTTAACGTGTAATACTGCGTTCAAGTATAATGTATTCCTTATCAGATCAATATTGAACGCCATTGCCATTGAGGTTAACTCCTACTTACAATATTAAAAATGCATTAAAAACTATCCGAGTAATCGATTATGAAATAAAACCTCAATTGTTTCCATAGTTTTACAAAATCGATATAGTCAATTTTGTCAAATGATGGAGAGTTACGTTACATTAATGTCGAACAGTAACAGATAGCACATGAGTTTATCAGTAACAAAAACTGACACTTGCACGTGTCTGGTAGTGACCTAGAATAATAAGCACATGTTCATTGTAGTTACTGAAATAATTAAAGTGGTCAATAAGCTGATTTAAAGCACCGTTAGCTTGTATCTTTTTTGCATATATTTTCATGTGTTTAGTATTAGTGCATTAATAATCAAGGTTTAAAATCATGGTTTAAAATACATGTGTTGAATGTATACCTGTGCATGATAAGTGTATTTTTTCATATGTATGTATGTATGTATATGTATATGTATATGTGTGCATGTGTGTATGTATGTGTGTGTGTGTTTTAATATAATACGGTAAGTGTACATGTATATATATGAATATGTGCAGTATGCATGCGTGTACGGTTTGGATTTGTGCACCCCAGTCCTGTACCCCGTACTACGCTATATGGGTGTCGGGTTACAGGAATGCTAACGGTTCCCTAATGATAATATGTGTAGTGTGACAAGAAATAAAGGAACTATTGTCACCGGCGGACATGTTGAGACTTTGCCAAAAACGTATGTAGCTGGACTCCTGGACCCACCCATGAGGCTTCCTAACAGCTAATAAAGAACCACCGCCTTAATGACTCAGTAAGGGTATCTTTATATCAAAAATACCCAACAGAAATATTTCCAAACTGTTTTCCTTCTGACGTAATATCTCTTTGTTTTTTTTATTGTCGACGTTAACGTTGGTTAACCACACTATGAACACGTTTTTATTTAGGTTCTTTTCTAATGGAATTTGACATTGAGGAGATAAGAAGAAATGACTGCGAAAGATACTTACTACACGAAATTGTGAAATGTTCACCTGTGGATCCTTCATAAGATTTTCATTAAACGGTTTCCTTTTAAACATTACTTTGACATATCTTTATTTCAAAAGGACTCACTACCAATCCACTGGAAGAATGGCATAAATAAGGGACAATCGTTTTAGTATTTTATCTTTTCGACTTTTCCTCCAGGTTGTTTCCCTAAATTACATTCTTATACATGTAGATAAGCAGGCAACACAATCCGACCATCAAAGCATAGTATGTTGTTATTATACCAGGAGAAATGTTCACCAATATCTGCCGGCTAGAATGTCAATGTGTTTCACTACAATAGTATTGTAGTTCACTCATTCTGTTTTATCTAGCGTTCCTAGGACATATTTTGGTCCCAACAACTGTTTCTCCACAAGGCATACTCCGTAAGCTGGAGCCTTGTACCAGAATACCTATTGACCAGCCTCTCGCTTCGGCTACGATCGTTATTCTTTGCATTCACGCTCAATAGTTTCAACATAGGAAAATGGTTTCTGTACGACATTTATGTCAGTACATTTATAATGGATCGACATCACAGGTTTTAAAGGTTCAACTTGACAAATGGTCTTGGTTCGGCTGTTTTTCTCTACGGATTTGTTGGGATGTTTCTCGACAGGTGACATTAAAGCTTCTAACTGACTGTCGTAAGAATGTGTCCTACCTGTAATAAGTAGGTGCCTCTCCCAATCATCAACCGATCGATGATCATCGTGTATCTATAGGACATAATAACGGCGTGTGTATGTCTTTAGGTTTACCGTGTAAAACATGACAGTTTACACAGCATTTCACACACGCCATTACCAATAACCACACGCGTTTACATTCCATTTACAGGCGGGATAGCCGTTATGTGTACATCTCCAAATTGATTTCACGTACAATTGTTCTCCTAAGTCTAATACATAAACAAAGGTATTCAGTCCCCGGGGGAGGGAACAGACAAGGGAGGTGACCTACCTTGGGCGTATCCCACGTAACAGGCCAGGCCAAACAGCAGCCACAACACGGGTATATCCATAGTAACACAGTTATCACAGTGTCATCCTTAGCACTCGCCACAGGTACGTACAGGTAGGACAGCTATGCATTAATAGGTAAAATTCCTATGTGATTTACCTGCGAATAGAGCGCACGCATGATTGGGCGCCAATACACAGAGTAGTGTATAGGCAGCGGATTCTTTGGACAGTTATATTTAAAGGGACGTATGGGAGGATACGTGTACCGTGTTAAGGTACGGGGGTTCATTTTAAATTCATCTCGATGCCATTAAAGAAGATGGGACTGGCTACAAGTGACATAAGTTGATTAAAGTCCTCTCTGAAAACATACAATCATGAACACAAATTGTACGTGAATATTTCCATATGCAAATATTACAGAATACTGTACATAGAAATATTAGTTTAAACAATGTTTTATTTTCGTTATTGATTCTGGGTAAACAGAAATGCATTAAATGGATAAAAAAAAACTATTTTTAAAGGTCATGTGAGGTATAAAGGCAGGAGATATTGTTTGTAAATTGACGTGTGTTTGTATAATGTAAATATATGAAAATGCTCTGTTTAAAGTTCTATCTGTGTTGTACAAGCATAGACTCAGTAATCCAGTAGATGAATATCTATGACGGGATTAAAAGTTAATGATCAGAGAAGTAACAGGAAGTGAAATTGTAGTCATCTTACGCGTCAAAACTTGTCATTGGGAGTAACAAAATGACAAGTTTTGCGTTACGACACGAAACCAGTAGTCTATACCGTGGGTGATATAAGGACACTCTTTATTAGTGAATAGCCATGTAAACACGAACGCGTGTGGATTGTTCAACAACTTACTTTTATATGTGAATATAAGGTAAAAAACATGACGAGCATGGATTATTGTTCAATAAATAGTGTACTCTGTATACTAATCAAAGGCAGCTTCTCCTGAACTCCATTTCTACTTTTAATAATAACATTCCAATAAATACTCATACCTTTCTCTATGAATGTGAAAGACTCGATATCAATATGAAGACAAGTATTCTGGAGATGATCCAGAGATTCATTAAAGGTACTAGAAGCATTTTCTAAATTACACTTATTCATATCTAGTTTCTGTATCAACAATCGCCGAAATAAAATTAATATTAATATGCAATAGGCTATTTATATATAATACATATATATAAAAAATAAAACAAAAGACAGAGATAGCGTCTCTAGGCCTTTCTCGGGTTGATTCCTCGAATCTCTGTCCTTTGTTTTATTTTTTTATATTTAATTCCGACACAAGGACTTCTCAATGTTTTCTTAATACATATCTATATATTGTCATTACTACAATATGACGTGTGTAACTGTGTATTACTGTAAGGAGAGTGTGCCCATAGGCTTTGCCTGTTGCCCGATTCCTTCGTATCTAAGATCTGAACAACAAATATTCTGAAATGAAAACTGTTGTTCAACAAATAACTTTTATTGGTGAATATTCAGATATAATCATAAAAAGACATGTGCAAACATAGGATAATTGTTTAACAAATTACATTGTACGCATGCGCTCACGTGCATTGTAAACAAGGGAGCGGTTTGTGACCTATCTTCAGTAAATCAGCTTTTTCGAGTAACGGGAAACTGGCACAAAATGACAAATGGTCCAACGCTCAAAACTATGTCATTAGCATGTTGATGAAATTAACACGAAGAATCATAAGATGAATGTTTGCAAACAAAAGAACAAACTAATTTTCTTAATTTGATGATTTTAGGTCAGGTTGTTTTATCGGTACTACTGTAAACACGGAGGTACATTCAATTGTGTTTTTATGTGGTAAAACAGGATAATCCTAATTTGATTTTTTTATTATGGTTGAATATGTAACTCAGGAACCTTATTATATAGCTAACCATAATACCCACACATGTTATACTGCCAACCATAATACCCACACATGTTAATATTCCTTAAGTAACTGAACTGTATGACACTCGCTATGACATGTAATCAGTATTAACAGAACTACATGACACTTGCTATGACATGCAATCAGTATTAACATAACTACATGACACTTGCTATGACATGCAATCAGTATTAACATAACTACATGACACTTGCTATGACATGCAATCAGTATTAACATAACTACATGACACT